TTTACCACATTTAAAACAAACGCAACACTACAAAAACTAATTACAAGCATACAATGGCAAAGTCTTTCTAGCCATTTCAACCATAAGCAACACAGCCATTATGCATTAACTGGAAAATAAGGTTGACAATCATCCCAGAAGGTGTTTGCGAAATAGATGTGTCTTTAAATCGGTTTTAAAGGACTCCAGTGTCTGGTTGTTTCTGAGATCGACAGGAAGGGCGTTCCAAATTGTTGGACCAGCAAATGCGAAAGTGCGCTTTCCGTAAGTCTCAAGGCAAACACGTGGTGTCGAGAGTTTGCCACTATCTGATGAGCGGAACTCTCTAGTGGGTACATAAGGCGTCAGCAGCTCTTTCAGATTGGACGGTTCCAGGTAATGTAAGCAGCGGTAGCACAACGTTGCGATTTTGTACTCTATGCGAGCACGCACCGGCAGCCAGTGCAGCTCTCTCAGAAGTGTTTTTGCATGGTCGAACTTGCGTTTGCGGAGTACAATGCGAGCCGCATTATTCTGTGCTATTTGAATTTTATCCAGGAACGTAGCTGGAAGACCCACCATGAGAGCATTGCAATAGTCCATGCGTGATAGCACAAATGCAGACATCAGCCTCTTTGTTGCATCAATTGTTAGAAAGGGCCTGATGTGACTAATCCTGCTCAGCTCCAGAAAAATCGCCTTGCATAGCATGTTAATATGACTTTCAAAAGTTAGTCTTCTATCTAGGTAGACACCCAGGTAATTAGAGGTAAATGTAAAGAAGAGATGACATGTTTTATTCCCATGGCCGCCATCTTGGTTGACACGACCTGTGCTATACTATATGTTAATTTAATAACCTTAGGGCCTAGTATATTAGTATGAGGCCCTATTAGCTTTGGAACATGCACACAAAGGGATCATTGGTGGGATTTAAAATGCGGTCACCAGAGTCTCATAACCCAAATGAGAACAGAACGAACGCTGTCTGACTTGAAGCTACCAGGTATCTAAAAAGATTGGATTCTCATTGGGATCCAAGGTGCTGCCACTGTGGGGAGACAGTTGTGCACTTGGTAGCCGAGTGCCCAATACTGAGAACTGGTGGAGTTGGGATCACTCCTGAAAGTCAAGTTAAAACTCTAATTTATGGTGTTTGCCAGAGCCATCAAAGAGTAATAGCTCTGCCCCTAAAAGAGAATGAATTATTTAGTTTTAGGCTAAACTAAATTTTAATTATAATAATAGTTTTATAGATCCAAAGAAATAATAACAGATATGATTGGAGACTGATGTTCCGGGTATCAATAAAATTTTAATTAAACAAAAAAATTATTACATTTATATTCAGAGGGTGTCTAAATTTTGTGACAAGTGTGTGATTATAATTTGGCGTATATTAATAAATTATTTTACCATGTATTTTGGCTACAAGCCCACATCAGTTATAATACAATTTGTTTCTGCAGAGACTGAGAGAGGGTGTTCTCAATGATTTGGATCGCCAACAACGAAAGCTACTGAATATTCACCAGCTGCAAGTACAATCAGATCTCACAAAAATTCTTAAGGAACACCAAAAAGAACAAGATGAGAAAGATAACCAATTAAATCATGTTGTCAGATGACAGGAGTGTTTCATTTTTTTGTGTCTTTCAAAAATGTAATAAAATTCACTTGATCATAATTTATTTTAGAGACATCTTATTTTTTTTTTATGGACACAGTGAGGTTGAAGGGGTGTTTGGCAGGAATATGAACTTTTTTTAAATAGACTATGATTTCAATTGTTGAAATTCTAAATTTTATCATGCTACCGGTATGATAATTCTTGTTTGAATTTTTTTTTTTTTTTTTAAAATAAATTTTTAAAATATTTTAAGTGAAGGTGGAAGTAAGTTCTATAGTTGGGAAACTGTGACCAGGGTCAATTTCTCGTTAAAATAGTAAACATAAAAACCTCCGACGGAGGGATTTAAAAAAAAAAAAAAAAAAAAAAAGCGCCCAACGTCCTCTCTCCCCTCACATATCAGCGGGCCTTGTTGCTAATCATACAAATAAATCCCAAGTTAATAAAGGCAGGGCTGATTTTTATTTTGCAAAAAAAAAATTAAGTATTCAATATGTAATTTATTGCCCCTTTTATTTTAAATGTTTCATAGTGAAAATCGAAAAAATATATAACTTTAATAAATTTTACATTTTATTGATACAATTGTCTCCAGGCCGTGTGCCACAATCTACAATCACTTGCAAGTTGAATAGTATTTACTTTTTAAAAAATATAAATAAATAAATAATAATTTTAAAATGACCTTTTTTAAAAAAATAAAGGGAAAGTACTCAAAAATTCATTTACTTTTATAATCAGAGTACATGATACTTACACAATATGTCAGCTCCCATCAATAGCTAAAGTCCTTGACAGAAAAAACATTTAAAATTGTTGACTAGACACTATGTCAAGGACGGCTTGGACAGTTCTTTCAGCATCAGTTGCATTTACATGTGGCGTAATATATTATGTCCACAAGTCCCAAAGGCTTGACAGAGAGGTAAATTAAATTTCAGTAAGTTACTTAAGGGCAAGGGTTAGAGTTTAGAGTTTCTGTTAGTTATTTTTAGGCTATTAGTTAGGATTGGGAACTTTGTGAAAGGCGGTTGTGCTTTATTTCTCTCCACTACTGAACTGATAACGATCTGCGCTATCATGTGTATATGGAATTAAGTCTGTGAATCTAATAATTAATAATAATAATAAAGTTCATTTCAAAAACACGCTTCATCCCCAAAGGCTTGGCGGTACAAAGTCAACAAAAAACAAATCTATAATTTACCACATTTAAAACAAACGCAACACTACAAAAACTAATTACAAGCATACAATGGCAAAGTCTTTCTAGCCATTTCAACCATAAGCAACACAGCCATTATGCATTAACTGGAAAATAAGGTAGACAATCATCCCAGAAGGTGTTTGCGAAATAGATGTGTCTTTAAA